AACGGGTGCTGGGTACAGGGAGCACACCACTCCGCTGTTACACCAGCTCCACTGGCTGCCAATTAGCTTCCGAGCACAATTCAAAGTGCTGGTGTTAACCTATAAAGCCCTAAACGACTCCGGCCCTGTTTACCTCTCCGAACGTATTCTCCCCTATGAACCATCAAGATTATTAAGATCGTCTGGAGAGGCCCTGCTCTCGGTCCCACCGGCCTCGCAAGCGCGTCTGGTGGGGACGAGGGACAGGGCCTTCTCGGTGGTGGCCCCTCGACTCTGGAACTCTCTCCCACTGGAGATCAGAACCGCCCCTTCTATCCTGACATTTAGGAAACAGGTGAAGACGTGGTTATGGAGACAGGCATTCGACGAGTGAGCCAACACCCTGAGATATGGATGGAGGATGATGAGCAACGACTTTAGTGTGACGACTGACCATTATAGTATTGATTGTAACTGCTGTTTTAATGTTTTACTGTAATATGTATTATGATGTTTTATTGATTGTATGTGATATTATGGTTGGAAACCGGTCTGAGTCCCTCAAGAGAGGTGAGAAGGCCGGTATACAAAACTTTTAAATAATAAATAAATAAATAAATAAATAAATAAATAATGTTAGATAAGGTCTCTGGACAGAGGGAGTGAAAGATAGATTAATTAGGCATTTGGAGAGACTCCGTAAGAAGTGCAGAAAAAGTGATCTCATGAGTTCTTTGACGGGCTTGGGATTAATTTAAGTGATGTTTTCTTGGTGTCTTCAGTGGAGACAAAATTGCTAAAGGGAATCATAGAATCATAGAATCAAAGAGTTGGAAGAGACCTCATGGGCCATCCAGTCCAACCCCCTGCAAAAAGCAGAAATATTGCATTCAAATCACCCCTGACAGATGGCCATCCAGCCTCTGTTTAAAAGCTTCCAAAGATGGGGCCTCCACCACACTCCGGGCAGAGAGTTCCACTGCTGAACGGCTCTCACAGTCAGGAAGTTCTTCCTCATGTTCAGATGGAATCTCCTCTCTTGTAGTTTGAAGCCATTGTTCCATTGCGTCCTAGTCTCTAGGGAAGCAGAAAACAAGCTTGCTCCCTCCTCCCTGTGGCTTCCTCTCATTTATATGGCTATCATATCTCCTCTCAGCCTTCTCTTCTTCAGGCTAAACATGCCCAGCTCTTTAAGCTGCTCCTCATAGGGCTTGTTCTCCAGACCCTTGATCATTTTAGTCACCCTCCTCTGGATACATTCCAGCTTGTCAATATCTCTCTTGAATTGTGGTGCCCAGAATTGGACACAATATTCCAGGTGTGGTCTAACCAAAGCAGAATAGAGGGGTAGCATGACTTCCCTAGATCTAGACACTATGCTCCTATTGATGCAGGCCAAAATCCCATTGGCTTTTTTTGTCGCCACATCACATTGTTGGCTCATGTTTAACTTGTTGTCCACGAGGACTCCCAAGATCTTTTTCACACGTACTGCTCTCGAGCCAGGCATCCCCCATTCTGTATCTTTGCATTTCGTTTTTCCTGCCAAAGTGGAGTATCTTGCATTTGTCACTGTTGAACTTCATTTTGTTAGTTTTGGCCCATCTCTAATCTGTCAAGATCGTTTTGAATTCTGCTCCTGTCTTTTGGAGAATTGGTTATCCCTCCCAATTTGGTGTCATCTGCAAACTTGATGATCATGCCTTCTAGCCCTTCATCCAAGTCATTAATAAAGATGTTGAACAGGACCGGCCCAGGACAGAACCCTGCGGTACTCCACTTGTCACTTCTTTCCAGGATGAAGAAGCATTGGTGAGCACCCTCTGGGTTCGTCTTGTCTCAGCTTTCAAGTTCCTGTCTTTTGTGTTCAAGTTTATGGTTTCTGTGTTTGCCTATGTTCCTGGAAAAGTTTACCTTGGATCAAGTTCCTTTTTCATGATTATGGATTTATGCCTGAGTTTTTGGCTCTCCTGTACCTTGCCATTTTTGGATTGCTACTGTTTTGTACATAGACTGCTGATATTTTATATTATCTTCTCTGTTGCCTTTTGGGGAATTGACTTTGTACTTGCTTTTCTCATTAAACTGCCGCAGTTAATTCTACTGGACTCTGGTGTAATGGTGGGTAACATGGTGTCTTGATGCTAGAGTGCAACAAATATTTTCTCTATGCTTTGATTTTCAAGCCATTCACTGCTATAAATATTCTATCTGTTTCAGTAAATTTAGTATGAGATTATTGGATTTCAGACACTGAGTCTCTTTATTTGTCAAAGCAACAAGTCACCACTGTCTGTCAATCACACAGTGACAGCAGCCTATGGGCAGGAAATGGTTTCCAACAAACTCTCATTACCATGATGTTGAGGCAACACAACAAAGAAATCCCAAGTTGTGAAACCACGTCCAAACTCCAAATCTAAGGACAAACGACTGTGGCCCAGTTAATCAAAACTAGGATGTGAGTTCACACAGTCTTTTAAAGAGCTCCTTAAAGTCAAACAAACATGCAAAACCCAGGGTGTATCCACAAGCTTTGTTGCTGATCCATAGACGAAGGATGGATCTAGTATTTTTCCATGGCAAGCTGCAAATGCTCTCATAGAAGTATAAAAGATGAGCAAAGCTACTCAAATAATCCTAATACATAAAAGTACCGCCTCTTTCCATATATTTCAGAAAAGTTTGGAGTTTTCCACTCTCAATGGAATTTAGTATATACTAATGTAGTTACAAAGGACAGCTTCACTCTGAATCTGAAGATGTGGGTTTATGAAAGACCTGTTAGTGTTAAAGATGCTGCCATATTCCACTTTTTCCTCCTCCTCCCTTCCTCCTTTTTGATGTAGCACCCAAAGAGAATGCAGAATCTGTTTCTCTGGAAAACAGCACGGTGACATTACCAGCAGCTGTTCTCAGAATACCAGTAAGTGGTCTGGTCTACTATGACAAGGATCTCATGTGGGACACATTGTATGTAGAAATGCATGGCAATCATTCCATAATCCCCATGCACTGGTGATTTCTGTCATTTTCAAGAAAACTCCACAAAAGTTGAAAACGCATCAAGCTTTCAATAGATACATGAGTCAGACTAGTATGCCACTGAGGCCCGTTCCACATTTTCTGCTTTGAATTGGAATATATGGCAGTGTGGACTCAGATAACCCAGTGGGATTTTCTGCCTTGATATTCTGGGTTATATGGCTGTATGGAAGGGCCCTAAAAGAGGAAAGAAAGAGAAAAGAGGGAAGTAGTACAAGGGTTGAATGAAAAGTAATGCCTCCACCTTCGTTACTTAGGTTTGGATGGGAATCTATATAAATAAAAATGTAATGTTCGTTTGTGGGATTAACAGAACTCAAAAACCAGTGGGCAATTGACACCAAATTTGGACACAAGACACCTAACAACCAATGTATGTCCTTCACTCAAAAAAAATTGATTTTGTCATTTGGGAGTTTAGTTGCTGGGATTTATAGTTCACCTACAATCAGAGAGCATTCTGAACTCCACCAATTATGGCATTGAACCAAACATTCCAGGACTTCCATGACCAACAGAAAGGGTTTGGTGAGCACTGACCTTGACTTTTGGAGTTGTAGTTCACCTACATCCAGAGAGCACTGTGGACTCAAACAATGATGGATCTGGACAAACTTGGCACAAATATTCTATGTGCCCAAATATGAACACAGATGGAGTTTGGGGGAAAAGACCTTGGCATTTGGGATTTGTAGTCACTGGAATTTATACTTCACCAACAATCAAAGAGCATTCTGAACCCCATGAATGAGAGAATTGGGGCAAACTTCCTACACAGAAGCCCAATGACCAACAGAAAATACTTAAGACCATTGAGTTAAACTCCCTTCACCAGGGCAAGAATACATAATCAAAGCCCTACTGACAAAGAGCCATACAGCCATAGATATAGATAGATATATATGATTCACACACACACACACACACACACACACTCAGATATAGTACCCTAGATTTCAAAGGGACCCCTAAAGAAGAACAATTATATGTTGTATGTTCCAGGGTGGGCAAACCAGACAATCTCCACATCAACACTGACAAAGAAACAGCAAGAAATACTGTTTACCCAACAAGCATAAAGAAATTACATATATTAGAAACCAACACTTTCTCATTACTTTATTTTCCAGATCAACAAACTGGACCACAGCAACGCGTGGCAGGGGACGGCTAGTATTTTAATAAAGCAAACGCAGATATAATCCTTAGAATGTGCTCTTTAACTACCACTATTTACTTTTCCACATAATCACCAGACAATTGGATACATTTCTGCCAACTATTAACAAGTTTTCTGAAGACATCACGGAATAAGTCGACGCTCTGTTTCCGCAACCAGCGTCTCACAGTTCTCTCAACGAAGCATAACAATGTCACCACAGATCTTCTTTCATTATCACAATGGTTCTCAACCTATGGGCCCCCAGATGTTTTGGCCTTCAACTCCCAGAAATCCTAACAGCTGGTAAACTGGCTGGAATTTCTGGGAGTTGTAGGCCAAACCACCTGGAGACCCACAGGTTGAGAACCACTGCATTATCGGGAACTGATGGAAGTCAGATGGTGCTGATTCTGTACTGTATGGAGGATGCCGTACAGTGGTGAGATCCAGTCTCTGAAGTTATGCTGTGTACCCATTGTGCACAGATCTTCCGATAGCCAAGCAAAGCAAAAATGTGACCCACATGTTCTTGTGAAATGCCGATCATGCTTGAAATTTCTCTCTGAGTGATATGACGATCATCCTGAATCAATCTGTCAACCTTTTGCTTGTGAAACTCGGTGGTTGCTGTCACAGGACGGCCAACTCTTTGTTTGTCATGCAAGTCAGATGTTCCCACCTCAACATCTTTAAACTTACTGTACTGTATGGAGGATGATGTACAGTGGTGAGATCCAGTCTCTGAAGTTATACTGAGCTGTGGCACCTCAGATTAAGCTACACCTTGCTCTCAAACACCACCAGACCATGGCTGTAGGATTTATAGTTTATTGTAAAGTTTCCAAAAGAAGGCAAAGGTTAAGTCAATACAAAGTTACAAAGTTCAGGTAAAATGCATGATACAGTTCCAGAAATCCTTAAGAGAAAATCAAGGTAAACAGGAGTCATGAAGCAGGAAGCACAATCCCTGTGCCCAGCAGCTTAGCCCAAAAGCAGCACAAAGAAACCCAGGCTTTCCAGCCTCAATACAGGAGCATGAAACAGCTAGCAGATAGCCATGTTGAAACTGACAGCTAAGAATTGCCCGTGGAAGACCTAAATACATTTTGCACATCAAAACAATCTAGTTTCCCACAATCTACTTTCTCACTGCTCCCTTGACCTGACGCTGACCTAATTTGGCTGCGATCCGAGAGCTCCGTCTCATGGTTTCGTTATCCCTTTGAAGCAACACCGGGCCCTCCTCCTTATCAGTTGCACTCCTGCCCTGTGAGAACTGCTTCTCCATCTCAAAAGCAGGCTGAGAAAACTGTGAAAACTGAAAATCATCAGGCTCAGGCTGCTCAGGAACCTGTTGAACCATAACATGAGTACCCATTGTGCACAGATCTTCCGATAGCCAAGCAAAGCAACAATGTGACCCACACGTTCTTGTGAAATCCCAATTATGCTTGAAATTTCTCTCTGCGTGATATGACGATCATCCTGAATCAATCTGTCAACCTTTTGCTTGTGAAACTCGGTGGTTGCTGTAACAGGACATCCAACTCTTCGTTTGTCACGCAAGTCAGACGTTCCCACCTCAACATCTTTAAACTTACTTGCCCAGCGACGCACAGTACTCACATCAACACAATAACCATAAACAGCACAGGACGTCCAACTCTTTGTCACACAAGTCAGATGATCCCACCTCAACATCTTTAAACTTACTCGCCCAGCAACGCACAGTACTTACATCAACACAATCACCATAAACAGCGTGCATTCTCTGATGAATCTCCTCTGGGGTGACACCTTCTGCTGTCAAGAATTCAATGACTGCAGGTTGCTTAAGTCACATTAACCGACCATCGGCGCAGGATTCCATACTTTGCACTTTAACAACACAACCATTCAATGCTAAGGCTTCCCACCCAATGGAACTATAGAGGAGAGTCAACTGAACAAGCCAGTACCTGTTGCATACCAGTACTGTCATCTGTTGAGGAGTTACGAAGGTGGGGGCATTACTTTTCATTCAACCCTCGTAAAAAGGAGAAGGAGAACATATACTAAAGAAGAATAAAAATCATCAAATTGCTTGCTATTCAAAGAGGGTCAACAAGAAACAAGAATCTTCATTATAAGAAAGGCATCGCTAGAGACAGTTTAATAGAGAGGATAGATAAGATTCATGAACAGTAATGTCTTATTTTTCTCACTAGGAGCCACGATGACTAAACGTAGGCTATCATATATTAGATATACAATAAGACAAAATGATTCATTAGAAAACATGACAATTAAAATAAAATGTAAGGCAGTGGGAAGACATTAGAGATGGACTGACTCAATTGAAAAAAGCCACAATCCGGAGCTTCCAAGATCTGAGGAGGGCTGTTGATGATAGGTCTCTTGGAAGTCTTTCATTCAGAGTGTCACCATAAATTGAAGATAATTTGATGGCAAATAGCAACGACAACACACCTCATTTTACATGTTATTGCAATATCATAAAATGCATTAGAGGAATTTACTTCAGAGAGCTTGGTGATGGATTGCAATAAAGCAACATTTACACTCATACGTTGATGGAATTTCTCAGCCAAGGGATGTCATTAAATATTCTCGAGGCTCACACTATTTTTCAGACAGTAATGCTGGATCTTGCTGTGTGTTGTCAAACCAACTAATCCTCTTGCCACGAAAATGAAGTCAAAGATGATTTACGGGCTTTATTTTTAGGTGTCAAGCCTGAAAATATGTAATACGTACTTCTTCTTTTTAAAGGGAACAAGTGAAAAAATGAGTCACGCTCCTATCATACTTTGTGTTTCATTTCATATAGCACAGATGTTGCAATTTGCTCATGAACTTCAGAGGCAAATTATCTCCAATTAGGATCCCATCCAGATGGTCACTCACAACAAAATCATAGACTTCTAGTCAGGGGCGGCTCACCCATTACGCAAAGTAAGCATTTGCAGTATAGTTGATTTTGTCCAGGGGCGCCCTTGAGGCGCTCTTGGGGGAAATAGACCTTGACATATGTGAGTTGTAGTTACTGGGATGTATAGTTAACCTACAATCAAAGAGCATTCTGAACTCCACCAATGATGGAATTGAACCAAATATGGCACACAGAACTCCCATGACGAACAGAAAATATATATCAATTATTGGTTGGGGAGGGGGGGCAATATACTGTTTGCTTACCGTTGAAAATTACCTAGGGCCGCCTCTGCTTCTAGTTTTGAGGGATACTGTAGTTGATATCTGTCTTTGCTGCTTCTCTGGAGAACATGGCCATAGAGGTTGCCATTTAGCTCATCAAAGTTGTTCTCTCAAAGGATAATCAAGTTTTCTTTGTAGACGTTATATGTTTACAGTATGTCCACAGTTCAGGAGAGATTCCCCAAGTCATTTGACAAAACCACCCTGCTTCCCACTGCTCTGAAATCCCATGAAATCTAATGCATGCAGGCGTTTGAGAAAGTTACAGTGTTTTAACTTAGCAAACACAGCATTCCCGTCACTTTCACAGCTAAGATCAGCCACCATTCTTCCCCCAGGCCAATCCTGTTTCAGACTTGAGGAATGGATGGAGATGTCAGGAGATCAAACTTAATTAGTGGCCTGGCAATCACCCGAACTTCCTCGTTTAACGGGTTTGACTTTAGGTTCACACTCTGGAGAGACTCCATGGAGGCAAGCTTCTCGACAGGCACATCTGCAGAAATGAGAACAAGAAGAGGCACACGATTAGTAGCTACTCCCCAAATTCAACAAATAATGCCTATATATATATTTATAAATGCTTTTATAAGACAAGAAGGGATATTGGGGATTTGGGGTGTTGGGAGTTGGGAATTTGTCTTCTGGTCCATTTCACTGGGAGTTTGTTTGTTATTTCCCCCTCCAATCTTCATCTTCTTCTTGATAGTCTCGCAGCTTCAACTGTTTTAAATATCTTTACATTTGTTTGTTTGTTTGTTTTTTTTATTTTCTTCACTAGATTTTTCTCTTATTTTTGTGTTTCTTACTGTAATAGATTCTAACCTTTGCCAGCTAGACCGAAGCCTGAGAGTCAGTGGGCTGGGTCTCCATCTTGGTGGGGAAGCTTAGAAATAGCTGACATCTTGGGAGAGGCAAGGGAGGAGTCAGCCAACTCCTGATTGGTTTAAGCACCAAGGGGAGGAGTTGGGTGAGAGTGAAAAAGGCTGTCACTTCTGACAGGAGGGGGAGAAGGGTTCTAATGAACAGAGAGTCAGGGAGAAAGATTCTAACAGCAGGGAGAAGGATTTTAACAGAAGGGGGATTTAGACAGGGAGAAGGAAGCTTTTGAGTGAGTCAAGCTGTTAGGGAATAAGAAAGGGACAAGGGCTTCAGTATTACTGTACTAGGAGAGTCAGTGAGAAGACTTGTCAACTTGTATTAATAGAGAGTACAAGTGAGCTTATTGCCCTATAGTGGAGAGTAGACTGGAGAAACTGGTTACTCTGTAAGACAGTCAGGGGGACTGATCTTAGAAACACACTGTTTCAAAGGGTTGAATAGTGTGAAGAAGATATCTCACTTCAAATAAAAGCTACTCCGTCTGTAGAAACCTTATGTCTAGTAAGCCTGAGCCTCAGTAACAGAAATACGCGTGTGTACCTCTCATTTTATGAGTTGTCATCTTCTTAAAGTTCAACAAACCTGTTATTAGTTCATCGTTAACTGGTGTCTGCCTCGGTCTGTCATACTTAGTGAAACCAAGTCAGCCTAAAAACCTCTTTATAGTCCAGTCAGCAAGCAAAGCAGCCCAAAAAGAAGAACCAGAAGCCTGGGTGCATATTACCTCAAATACATTCACACCTTTGTTTCCTCAAACAATAAAATTGAGGTGGCGGCGGCAAAAATCTACCAGTATCATCGGTCTCTTACATCATTAGTTATTCCTTCATGCAAATTCCTGCCACACAGGTGTGATTAGAGACACCTCGCCTAGCGTTCTTCCTTACACTTACCAATACCATTCTGTTTATACCAGATTAATGAGTTTCTGCTCCTGGAGATATGCTTTCAGTATTGTCCAATCTATCCTGTGCCTATCCATCTGGTCTTGAAGAAGGAACATTAAGGAGTCCATGTCCATATAGTCCCTAAGCTTTATATCCATGTATCAATCAACGGGATTTCTTTCGAGCGCCATTTCTGCATTAATAAAGTTCTTGCCGCAGAAATTAAATAAGAGTAGATTTTGTCTTTATTTTCACCTGGTTCAAAATCTGTCAGGTTTAATAAGTAATATTTAGGCCTAAAATTAAACTTTAATTTTAGTATTTTTTGGGAGTGTTTGTGTATTTTTTTTCCCAATACTTCTTTACAAGACCACCAAGAGTGGAAGAAAGACCCCACTTCTTCCCCACACTTTCAGCATTTATTATTTTGGTTTTTGTAATATTTTGCTAATACTTCAGTTGTTAGATGCCATCGAAATAACACTTTCAGCATTTATTATTTTGGTTTTTGTAATATTTTGCTAATACTTCGTTGTTTTCTATTATAACCAGTTTTCTATTACTTTTATGGATCTTGAATATTTCATTCATTAATATTTCAATTATTAATTATTAACAGTGCCAGGAGATATGAATAGCATTTAATATACTGTACTGATTTTTCCTAAACCATTTGTAATTATGATAATGCCAAATTATTCCACAGCCTCCATTTTCAGCCAGCTAGATGGGACTTCAGGAGGCTCTCTCATCAGTCAAAGTAACAACTGCTATCCTTACAAAGATTTCGTGGAGTTTGTGAAGACAGTCCAGCAACACAGTTTTATGCAGTTTTCTGTTTTATAAAGATGCAGCTGGAAGACAGGAATCAACAGAAAATCTCTGCTCTTACACAACATCTGCAGCATTGGTATTGAACAGAAGGAAGCAGGTGTCTGTATTTATGCTGGTGGTCCAGTAAGATGTGAACAAACACAGCATTTCACTGGCTGTTGTGACCACAATACCGCAGGACATGGAACCTTCTGCTGTGAACTAAATATGTTGTCCACAAGCAGCCTTGAATTAATAATGAAAAGATGAGAGTGAGCTAGGAAAAAGGAACAGAATAAGAAGTGGACCAAAGCTGTCTCCGCTCTGTGACCACGTCTAAAACCAGACTGACAGGGATCAAAATAATCTATTTCATCCGAGAATCCCTGGAGTTAAGTCACCATTCGCTCCAGAACCTTGCCCAGACCTACTTCTGCAAAAACATGTACAGGAGAATACATTGACAACAAGTAAGTAGAAAACAGGAAAAGGTGAGAACAGCAAGAGCAGTTGCAGAAAAAAGGACATGACCTTTTAATTTCCACAAGGCTTTCTGATGCTGTGTTGGAGAAAGTCTGAATCTAGCCTGTGAAACACTTCCTGCACAAGTTGTGACTGTTTTCTGTGTTGTTTCATTATTGTTTTGTGACCTTGGCTATCTTTAATGAAGTTTTTGACTTAAACACTGTCAGACGTAATTTGGTCTTTAAAAACTACCCAAAATGAATAAAACAACAAGAAATAAAAAAAAATCAAAACATTTATTTGTGTACTGTTATCTCAGAATACCATGTATAAGAGTCACCACCGTGTAATAGTTGCACCCTCTTTTTGGGGTCCCAAAATCAGTATTTTTCCTTTCCTCGCAAAATTGTCGTATTAAAAAACACCTAGAAATTGAGTCAGCTAGGGCCCCTCCTCTTCCCTTCTCTCTCAGAGGACAGAAATTAAAAAAACAAAAACAACAACCCAAAAACAGCAAAACTAAGACACGTTTTAAAAATCACCTAATAGTCACACAACACTTTTTTTGGATAATATATTGTGTAAGATATCCTGTACCCAAGCTAAGTCTGTAGAAGGATTTCCATCCCTGAAAGGAACAAAAGCAAACATGTTGATTCCTGAAGCCATGTACAGTGTTCACTTGCTGTTTCGTGGTTCGCTTTCCATGGACTTGCCGTTTCGTGGTTAGAGTTTAGAATTAATATTCTAAACTCTAACCACGAAATTAATATTCTAAAGAATTAATATTCTAAACCATAACCATGAAACAGAGAGTCTGCAGGCTCCGTGGCTACCAGGACAAGGTGGAGAAGCCAGCCCTGGTCGATTCAGGGGCAGAGCCTGCCACTGGTTGGATCATCCAGGGCCAGCTTCCCCACCTCACCCCAGCAGCCATGGAGCCCTGTGGAAGCCCAGGGCAGCAATGCAAAGGTTGCTGGGGCAAAGTGGGGAAGCTAGCCCTGGCCTATCCAACCAGCGGGTCGGCCAGGGCCGGCTTTTCCATCTCGCCCCAGAAGCCTTTGCAGCACTGCCCTGAGCCTCCGTGGCTGCCAGGGCAAGATGGGGAAGCCGGCCCTGGCCAATCCATTGGTTGGGTCAGCCAGGGCCTGCTTCCTGTCACGATGCCAGGGCTCTGCCTTATTCAGGTAGAGATGAACCAAACAAACACCCAGTTTGTATAAAACAGTTTAATTAAAACAGCACTTACTTTCTGGCTGTTTTAATAGTTCAAAATATAAAACATAAAGATAGCACTCAGCCACAGAATATAAAACAAAAACTGACAGCAAACACTGTTGCAGGTTCAAGATAATACCATAGTCAAAAGGTCTAGTCCAGTGGTCAAACGCCAAGAGTTCAATGAGCAAAGTCCAGGGATCAAAAGTCTATACTGTAGTCAAAAACCAGTCCAGAGATTCAAGGTTCCAGAGTTCCAAGAGTACAAGAGACAGGTCAGGATACCAAAATCCACAAACCTGGGGGGAAACCAGCAGCATCTATCCCAAAGATCAGTCCCAAGGCTAGCTCCTTATATCCAGAAACACCCAGTTGCAACCCATCTCTGGCATACCTCCACCCTTAATTGCTTTCACCCATGAACTCTTACTTACAGATTACTCAACCCTTTAGAACTAAGACTTACATTAACCCTTCCATCACCAACTGCTAGGCCTACCACCACCAACCACCATCAACTGCAGAACATACATGACAACATACCCTTGAGGCTCGGCATTGGGCCAAGGTAAGCCTTTGGGGCGAATGCCGAGCCTCAAGGAATTGTGGGAGTTGAAGTCCACCACAGCTGGAGGGCCAAAGGTTCCCTACCCCTGTGCTAGGCGTACCACCACAAACCACCATCAACTGCAGAACATGATACATGACACTTCCCCACCTCGCCACAGCAGCCATGGAGCTCTGCGGAGGCCCTGGGCTGCCCTGCAAAGGCTGCTAGGGTGAGGTGGGGAAGTCGGCCCTGGCCGATCCAGGGGCGGGGCGGGGTCTGCCGTTGGTTGGCCAGCTGGCCAAGCGGCGAGAGACTTCCCGCCGCGCAGGGGGCTTCTGGGAAGAAGCCCCCTGCAAGCAGCATGGCCGGCGGAAGGCCCCCCCCCCCCCGCCACAACGGCCCTTGCCCTGTAAGTCTGGCAAGGCATTTCTTATCTCTATATATAGATATATAGATATATATAGTCCCTACATCGTGGTTTTTCGCGTGTGGTCCTGGAATGTAACCCCTGCGATAAGTGCAGGAACACTGTATAAGAAACAACACCTAATAATTAATTTAAGCAGTTCAATGTGGATTGTACCCCATTTCTATTCCCCATATGCAGCTTCCATCAGTGCACCATTGAAAGAGAAAGAGAAGGAAAGAGAGAGAGAGAGAACGAGCAAGCAAGAGAGAATG